AGGTAGTTGGTTGCTGTGCTGGCCACATGGTACTTTCATTAACCGTGGCCACAGAAACAGATGACCTTTACATCCTCTGCCCTGTATATCCCAAGAACTCTTTACTATTATGTTTAAGAAGCTAATCAATTGACCATTCAGCAGTCTTAGAAAAATTAAATAAATATGCCTCAGGTGCAATAGCTTCTTACTCCCTTATCTATGCCATTAGCTGCTTCATCATCATTTACATTTTAAACAATTAATCAAGATGTTAAATAGCAAATACATAACTAGACATGCTAGTGTCATTATTTACATTACTTTTGATTATTCTCTTTCATCCAAATTATTAAGAGGAAAAGTAAAGTAAACTGAAAGGTTTCTAAATGCAAACTTTGCAATTAACTGAAGGTGGCATTGAATTGAATTTGAATGTTTAAACTTTTTTTTTTTTTCTAGAGGCATTGTGTTTGTTATCAACAGTGCAACACTTCAGAGAGAAATAAAGGAAGTAGCAGAGTAAGTCATTGGAGACAAAATGAAAGCCTAAGTCTTAGTTGCCATAGTTTTTTTTGTTTTGTTTTTTTAGCTTTGTATTTTCAGATTTTTTTTTTTTATACCCCTTCCAACTATTGTTATGTAAATTAACATTTCTTTGTGGTCTGAAGACAGTTATAATTTGTATTATATTTTTAAAATTAATTTCTTATTGTACAGTGTTCAGTCATTACGAAGCATTTAAAATTTAAAAAAGAAAAAGACAAGCCTTAGTTGTTTAGCCATGGGAAATAAAGTTCCCTATTAAACCAAAATCTTGTTCTCTGAACTGTCAGCTTGGTCCTACTACTGACCCCAGCTAACACCTATTGGTGACACATCTACTTATTGAATTAGAGATTAATGATAACTTATCTTTTCACTCATTTAATTTTTCAGTCTTTTAGTATTAGTGCCTTAGATCTGGCTAGTGTCATGATTAGATTTCATTGTATTTGGCAGATTCCTGTACACTATATTGAGTGACAGAGTGATCTCCAGCAATTCTCCCCCAGTTCTTATCTTGTGTAATAAACAAGACTTGACCTCATCCAAGAGTGCAGCTCTCATCCGCAATCAATTGGAAAAGGAAATGTGAGAATTTTTTTTTAAATCTGCACTTTAATAATTTTTGTTCCCATGAACTCAAATATATAGTTAACTTTTTGAATGACAGCCACATTTTTCTGTTTCTTCCATTTAAAGCTTTTACAGTTTTCTTAATGATTGACCAAAAAAAAAAAAAAGATTAAGATTACTAAGAAAAATGTCCTCCTATTGTGGTAATAATAATAATAATAATCTTTATTGTCCGAATGGAAATTTGTCTTACAATTTGTGCATTACACCAAACAAAAAACATTATAACTATAAGAAACCAAAAAGTACCTTCACACCAGACTCACTTATAATTTACATGTGACATATCAGTTTGTTCTTATTTAATGATTTGATTGCCAGCAAAAAAGCCTGTTTTATAATGCACACATCTGCAGTCTTTTTTTTAAAGATTCAATATCACAGTCTAGTATAGCAATATGAATAGCAAAAATAAAAATAAACGTCATAAAATGCTTCTAATAACGTCATTGGCAACAAACAAAACTCACTTTGACAACTATAATTGAGAAAAAAATTATAGAGAAAGCTAAAAAGATTTTAAACTTTCAAAAACAACTTAAAGTCATGATTTTAGCTTTTTACCATCACAGGGAAGATGTAAGATAAGGATCACATAAAACAGACACAAGAACTCCTTTCTTCCTCTGGCAAAAACTATTAGCCAACACCAAACCAAATAAAGCGTCTGGACCTGATGGTATTCCAGCTAGATTACTCAAAGAACTAAGCAATGAGCTAGCCCCAGTGTTCAAAATACTCTTTCAGGCATCGCTTAACCAGGGCAGAGTACCAAAGGACTGGAAAGAAGCTAATGTCACCCCCCTATTTAAAAAAGGAGAAAAATCTGATCCAGGAAACTACAGACCAGTATCACTTACAGTATCACATGTAAAATCCTAGAACACATAATATGTAGCAACATCATAAACCACTTAGACAAACATAATGTTATCACCCCATACCAACATGGCTTTAGGAAATATAGATCATGTGAAACACAACTAATAGGACTAATTGATGATTTTTCAAAAGGTTTAGATAATAGTGAACAAATAGATGCTATCTTACTAGATTTTTCCAAGGCTTTTGACAAAGTTCACCACCATAGTTTGCTTAAAAAAATTAAAATATTTCGGCATTAATGGTCCACTGCATCAGTGGATTAAAGATTTTCTGATAGGGAGAGAACAAACTGTAATAATAAATGGCTCTAAATCAACACCAATGACAGTAAACTCAGGTGTACCTCAAGGAACAGTCTTGGGTCCACTACTATTTTAAATTTACATAAATGATTTACCAAATTGCATTAGTTCAGGAACAAAAGTCAGATTATTTGCAGACGATTGCATAATATATAGAACAATAAAAACAAAACAAGACACAGATACTTTACAAAGAGAATTAGATGAATTACAGAAATGGGAATCAAATTGGAGCATGTCTTTCCACCCAGAAAAATGTCAGTTGTTAAGAGTAACAAAAAAACTAAAACAAATTAATTCACTTATCTTATTCATGGCAAACCAGTAACACAGACTAAAAACGCAAAATACCTAGGTGTTATAATAAATGAAAAACTGTCATGGAATCCACATATTGATGAAACTATAAAAAAATCAAACAAAGCATTAGGATTTATTAAAAGAAATTTCTATAAATCAAATAAGAACATAAAACTAAAATGTTATTTAACCTTGGCTAGGGCAATAATAGAATATGCATCCACCGTGTGGGATCCCTCAACTCAAGAAAACATTAAGAAACTGGAACAAACACAAAATAGAGTAGTGAGATTCATAACAAACGAATATTCACATTTGACTAGGGTAACACCATTAGTAAAATCACTAAATTTAGAAAGCCTTCAGGACAGAAGACTCAAAAGTAAAGTAGCAATTATACATAAAACACTGAACCATAATCTTCAAATACAAAAACAAAACTTAATAAAATACTCTGAAAGACACAAAAAAAAAAGGCACATTCCTCGTCCCATATGCTAGGACAAAGTTGTACAAATACTCCTTCTTCCCTAGTGCTATTAGAGCATGGAATGGGTTGCCTGAGCTAGCCAGAAAAACCAGTGACTTGGCAGAATTTAAGTCATTGGTTAATATGCATGACGCGTAGGACATAATCATCTTCTTTTTTGAAGTAACGTCTGTATTATAGAAGATAAGAAGATTAACAAATAATTAAATACAATCCAACTTTTTTTTTGTTTTATATGTGTAATGCGCAAAATTTTAGGACAAATTTTCTGAAAGATAGTAAATATATTTTTATTGTTGATTTTCAACAACAATTTTAATAGGATAACATTTAACAATTCATATAACTTGACTATTAAGCTCAAAGAAAGTTATATGAATTGTTAAATGTTATTCTATTACACTTGTTAAAACAATTATAGATTAGTTGGAGCTTTAAAGAATTGCAATAGTAGAATGCAGGTTGATACTTATAAATCACATCAAATTAATAAAATGCAGCCATAAATAAAGCTGTAAATGTAAACATAGAGTTGAAGCTAGGTGCTGAAACAAATGATACATACATATATTAAACATAAATGAGTCACGGGTTCGAGCCTCGGTTGGCGCATGCCCTTATTTTCGTAGCATTTTAATTCACTACTTTCTCTCTTAAAAACTTGGTCCCTGGTGCTGTTGTTCATTTATGTTTAATATATATAGCCATAAATAAAACTCCAATTATTTGCATGTTCTTTTTCTAAAGTTTTGGACTTTCTGATAAGACAAACATATGAAAGTAAAATTTCTTTTTTCTTAAATCTTGACTGTCAAAACTCTCACTAAATTTTGCGTATGACCTTGTTATAAGATGTCTACATTTTTCAATGAAATTCATTCTCAAAAAAAAAAATTTTTTAAATTCAGATAATATGATTAAAAAAACTTTTAGAAAAATATTTGGATTTATTTTTTACAGGACTACTCTACGAATTACTCGTTCCGCTGCTTTGAAAGGAGTTGGCGACACTGCCAACAACAATGCTTTCTTGGGCAAACGAGACAAGGATTTTGATTTCTCTGACTTGAAACCAATTAAAGTTGATTTTGCCGAGTGCAGTGCCCAGGGGAAGAATAAGGAAGACTTACCAGATTTACAACAGTTGTATGCCTGGTTGAATAAAGTTGCATAGACAAAAAAGATGATAAAATATACTAGTAAATTATTGCCAATACAAATGTTTACCAATCTAAGGTAGGGCAAGGAATTGTTGGCTCTGTTCATACTTCCTGCATTGATACGTTTTGTTTTCTGTTGTATTACAAAATGTTTTTAAGTTCTAAGGCATTGTATTAGATATTATTTACCAGTCGTGACATTAATGTTTTTATTGTCATAATGAGATAACGTTACACAATAATTTCATTTCTTTTCTCTTATTGTGCTTTCTGTTTGGACTTTGTTTAACAGACAGTTGTGGTATTAACTAAATTTGTTTGACAGTTGTGGCAATATTTAAATTTGTCCTACCCGTATTTCACCAAATCATTTTCTTTCTTACACTTTCTTGAAGTTCTAATGATGCCTGTAGCTGTCAACTGAAAAATTTATTCCTAACATATTTCTGGCAGTTTTTTCTCTTTGTCTATTTACTTTATTTGTTGTTTATCGCCTGCTCAGTCTTAAAAGTCCAACAGTGTCCTCTAGTTCCATAATGAGGCAAATGTGTGAAATAATGTTTTCATTTTAGAGTCACATTTGCACACAAATTTTCATGAAATTGTGGATTTTTCGTTTCTTGTTTTGTTGTGTTGATTGAATGCTATATTTTTATGCCTATATAGGCAAAGTTGCAGTTTCTAGTTGCTATCTTTTTAGGCCTATATAGGCAAAGTTGCAGTTTCTAGTCCAAAAAAAAGTATCATTAATGTTAAATCTCATTGGCACTTTTATTGAGTGAAATTTTCTTTTGGCTTTAGTTTTACAGTTCCCTTTTTTCAGGGTTGATACTCAGAGTCTTTTTGTTCCCAGTACAGGTTAAGAATATAATTTTTTTGATTGGTTGAAAGTTCTTTTAACTTTACTTTTATTCTCCTTGTTTTATTTGATCCATTTAGGTGGTTCTCTGTTTCAGTGTCAGTTTAGAATGTAATGGTTTGCCAAAAAACTTTATTTATACTTTATTTCTATTCCATTTTTAGTACTTAGCAATGTTGTATCACACACATCAGCTGTGAGATGATCATTTCTCTTTAGCTTTGACAGGTTTTGGAACTTATTTTGTTTTTCTTTGTTTTCTATTTTTGTCTGATTGAAGTGAATTTCACTTGTAATAAACTATTATCGTAGAAATTTTTACTTGGCTGATAAGGTTTTTTGTTTGAAGAATTGTCTGCATTTGCTGGGTGAAGGGATTTCATGAATGGCATTTATCGATTTCAAGTAAGAGCTTTTGAAAACATTGTTATATTTTAAAAATTTAATGTGTTTGTTTGATGAAATATGTCGGTTAAATCAATTTTATTGTATGAACTACTATATGAGTATTCAAAATGTGGCAGGGGGTACTTGAATATGTTTTGAATGGTAAGACCCTTAATAAAACATGAATCAAACTATCACGCAAGTTAAAGTGACTTACTGTGTTTATTGTTTTACATTGTTACTGTATTTACAGTTTCACATTGTTAAAGTATTAAGATTTTTTAAGCCAAAATTTTGCCTAGATTGTTGAAGACCCTATGTTGTAAGTCATTTTTCATTTTCTATTGAGATGACCTTGCTATAGTGTACATAAGAGTAGGTAAGTACCTAGTGATAAATCAAATTTTAAAAAAACATTCTATAGAATGACTTGACCTGCTTCATGCAAAGTAGAAAATGCTTTATGTTGAAAGATATGTATAAATATAATATAGATAAATGAGGAGGAGGGAATAAACTAAGGATATCTTTAAATTAAAAATACATTTGTATGTCTTTATACTAAGTTCATTTTTATATTATCAAATGATTCTTCAAAACAACTAATCAAATACATATAAGTAAAAAAAAAAAATCATTTTGTCTATCTACTCTGTAAATGAGAAAGTAAAAGATGCATCAACATTTTGCATACCTGTACTTAGTGGGTCACACTGTCATATTCTAACAGTAACATGCTCATATTATACATGATGCTCATGCTTAGTAATCATTTCAGTATAATTTCTTGTTACTTTCTAATAATGTTCTAACCTTAATTTATATAATATATTAATAGAATGAATGTCTAATAACAAATAATGTCCTCCTCTTCTACCCAATGTTTTCTTTCTTTTTGCTATTTTGTTGTATGTTTTTTATCATATTGTTGTAAACCTGGTGGTGACGCAGATGGGGGTGGTGCTGTGTGTTTTTTGGCCTGCCCGGATCGCCACTGTCCGGCGCGGGACAAGCGGTCAACCAGTGACGGTGCGCGCCAGTTCGGCAAGGACCAGTGTCGTAAATATTTCACACGCAAGTCACGGCGAAAGTGATCAACTGGAGTGGTCAAGAAGGTTCGAGGCCAGTAGAGACCCTATATAAGAGCGAGTGTGTAGGAAAGACTTCACTTCTCGTTACCTCGCTATGTGACCAGCACGAGGCGAGAACCAGCACGGTGTGTGAAGTCAGGCGGAGCAAGACTAGGTTCTTGTAAAGACAGTGCTAATGTTGTTGCCAATTGCGATGTATTTGCAATTAAACTGACTGATACTTTGGAGCCCGGAGTTGTGAGGTTCTTTAAGTTCGTTGTGTCTGTGTGTGGTGCAGTTTGAAGAGAGCCTGGATAGTAGGAGAGACGTAACGATATTCTCCACCTCTTCCTGCGTCTTTACTTATTAATTAAATCTTGGGGTAGATAAAATGTGTGAGACACACGTGAGTTTACCAGACACTTGCACAACAAAAGGAGGACAGAAAAACAAAATCAAGACAAAGTGCATTTAAAAAACTAGGTCTACAATGTCTCTTTGGTTTATCTGGATGATACTAAACATTGGTTGATTAAATCAACTTGATAGCAAGAATTGAAATCAGAAAACAAAAATTGTTTTAATTTTATTACACCAGCAGTTTTTATTTTAGAATAACCTTTGAACCACAAGAAAAGGATTGTTAAATTGAATTTTCAATAATATATTTAGTTTATAACTGTTCCTTAACTGCCTATAATACCTATTTGTGGTTTATATATATTTGTTTATAAAATAGTATACACTTATATACACAAATACATAGCCTTCTCAAAAAAAAAAAAGATACACAATCAGAAGACAGATGGACCGCACAAAAACAACTACCTTTTTCCGTACCAAGGCCACTTGAAAAAAAAAGCACCATAGTGGTAAAGCGCTTGGCTCCAAGCCGGGGTACCGGGTTTGAATCCTGGTGAAGACTGGGATTTTTTATTTCAGGAAGAAAAGCTTAAAGCAGAACCAGATGAACTGTCACATATGATTCATGCGCAAATTTTGAAAAATCAGCAGTATTGGAGAGATATTCTGAAGAGTGTAGCAGCAGCTATTAAGTACTTAGCAAAAACAAACTCAAGTTTACGTGGTCACAACGAGAAACTGAATTTACCTAATCCTGGGAACTTCCAAACATCTTTGAAATTTCTTGCAGAATTTGATTCGAATATGGGAATACACATTATTTGTCACCAGAGATTCAAAATGACTCACTCATAAACTTGATGTGCAATAAAGTTAGGGAATCAACTGTTGGGAAAGTCAAGCAAGTTTGTTCCTTTTATCAGATGCTTGATTCCACCCCAGATGTTTCTCATCAAGAACAGGTCTCTCTAATAGTTCGTTTCTTGGATGTTGATAATTTCGAAATAAAAGAGTTATTCATTGGCTACTATGAAATTTTGAAACCTAATGCACATCATTATAAAGAATTTGTTCTAAAAACTCTTAGAGACATTGAACTGGACTGTGCAGAGGTCAAACCTATGATAACGCAGCCACAATGAGTGGCAGAAACGTCTCTTAGACATGAATTCAAAGGCAACATTTCTGAACTTTGATAGTCACTCTCTGAACCTGGCATCTCTTCATTCTGCTGAGATAGACCCAGCAATTGTCACCTTTTTTTGGAACTGCACATGAATTCTTCAACTTTTGTTCACCCCCCCCCCCCCCCAAAAAAAAAAAAGATGGGCCAAACTAAAAGAAGCTGGCGCCTGGTTTTTAAAAAAGGAAAGTAATAGAAGGTGGTCCGCAAGAGAAGCTATGTCAGCAGTTTCCTTGCATCTCGACAAATCATCAAGCTGTTGTAGAAACTTTCTGAATCAACAACTGAAAGAATGGACACTAGAAGCAATGCACAGTATCATTTTCTTGCAGTGGAAAATTAAGATTTTTTTTTACTTATCTGGAATTCTAGTCAAATCTCCTACGCCAAATCAATATAGGGGCCTAGTTCAGAAGAAACTACAAACGTCTGGACTGCACATACGGGAAACTGCCGAAGAAATAAAAACCTTTTCATGCTTTCTGCAAAATGATGAGAAACGGAAGAAACTGATCACCCAATCCATCGAAAAAGCAAAATAAGATAGTGAATGATATGGATTTCCTGTAATCAAAATAACCATAAGAAAGAAAAGACTTGATGTAGGACTGTCAATAGAACTGCAATTCAAATGTGTTGCAACAGAAGTGCTGGACAGACTTCATATGGAGATGAAGGACAGATTCCAAAGGCTGGAAAACCATGTGGACCCCACTGCGTTTCTTCTTGAACCAAGAAAACCTCTTTGAGTCTAAGGAGAATGAAACGCTGATGAAAAACTGTTACTTTTTCCTGTTTGTATGATGAAATATATGGCAATTGCTTGTTCAATAATGCCATTGATGCACGAGCACTTTTCATCAACAAAGCAGTACCACAATCACCAACTGACATATTGAGGAAGCTGGCTTCATATGGTAATGATGTGTACTCAAACTTTGCAAACTCCTCCGAATACCGCTAACTCAGGCCACTTCCATTGCGTCATGTGAGAGATCATTCTCAAAGCTCAAGCTAATCAAACACTATCTTAGGAGCACAATGACGCAAGAAAGGCTTAGCATGACTTAAATATCAGTGGAGTCACAAGCACTAGACAGTAGCGATGTAGATGGTGTATTAGATGCACAGAAAGCACGACGTGAAGCGATATGAATTGAGATTCGTCACTTGTGCATTATTTCGCCAATAAACAACGGTATTATTCATTAAAAGATTCTTAATGATTATTTCTTGTTTTAATGATATGCTGTACCAATTTAAATGTAGGCTTACATATTTCTCATGTCTTGATGTCGAATATCAAAATGCAAGGGGCCCCCAAAGAGGTCCATCCCCCCGGGCCCCCTAATCCCTAGCTAAGGCCCTGTGTAGGATAGATCTATATTTAGGCCTAGTTGACCCTAGTTGAAATCTAGAAAGTATTTTATTTTATATAGATCTATGCTATATATAGATCTATTTCTGTTAGATTTTAGACTAAATATAGATGTTGGTAACGTTGATAGAATATTTTTTGCCGTTTAAATTAGAAAAATATAGCTAAGTGCTTTTTTTTTTTTTAATGAAAAAAAAAATATATAGGTCTTAGTTGACCCTTGTTGACCTCCTATATAGGCCGATGTCTATGATAACACTAAGTAAAAAAATTGCTTGCTCACTGTTGTGTGAAGAAGCGGATCTCTATTTTAGAGTCTAGATCTAGTCTACAAGCAGTCAAGAAACATTTAAAAAAATACTTTAAAATGTCTGAAAAAAAGTAAGTTCTCCTTTTCATAGTTTCTAACCTAGATCTATAATTGTTTTAAGAACATTAGACTTAGAATTTAGATCTAGTATAAGTATAATAAATATAAGTAATATAACTAGAAAAATCCATTGCAACTGGAGAGCTCTACTGCTCTAGGACAGTCACACAGTGACAGACTCAGAGCAGAAAAAGTAGCACTAGCTGCTACCATGCTAGCAAATCATCCAAGTTCCCCACACAGTCAGATTGTCTTTCTAACCGATGCGAAAACAACCCTCCAAAGCTTGCAAAACTCAGCAAAAAAAATGTTACTCAATGGATACCAGCTCATATTCAACAAGAAGGAAATGAGAAGGCTGACACACTCGCCAAGAGTGGGAGACCTAACTCACAAATAAACTCTGCACTCTATCCAGAAGAATTGAAGAAATTAATTGTAAATAAAATAAATGAGAAATGGACGAGCTCTCATCCAAATCACAAGAAAGATGACGCTTACTATAAACTATCCGACAAGACCAACGTCTAATCTTTCGACTCAGGACCGGACACAACAGAATGCAACAACACATGTACCGGAAGCTCAAAATTGGATACAATGAAATCTGCCTATGTGGAGTATCACCAGAGAATGCCGACCACGTCTTCCAAAACTGCTCTCTTTACCAAGAAGCCCGTATAAGACACTGGCCCCAAAACACCCCAATAGAAAGAAAACTATATGGAGAGCTCCCTGATTTGGAAACCACTGTGCAGTTCATCTCATATATTGGTCCAGTCATCTGAACGCTCCAACATAACAATGAGAAAGAAGAAGAAGCGTTGGTATCGTTAGTTAGGAGTGAAAGAGTTAATCTATGAATATGAATCTAATTTTCTATGACAATGACTCATATTAGCATTTGAAGGCATTTCAATTTAATTTAATCTATATATATAAATCTAGTACTCTAGTAGTTGATCTACTGCTTAGTACCATAATACTGTAGTAGATCTAGAATTCAAGCTAGGTTCTATAATAGATTTTTATGACTACATATTGTTATAACCCTGCCATGCACACCGCCCATCCATTAGAAATTGTCATGTAGAGTTGTGAAAAAGCACTTGGAACCCTAAGGCCAGCAAAAGCGAACAAGAGCTCCCTTACACTGGCCTGAATGAACGGTGTACACCTTGCATACATCGTACTGTCTGACAGGGGGGTGAGACTTATGAGTTTTACTCGAAGTTAAGTTGCAACATGGACGCTCCATACTCGCAGACTAGAGATGTGGCCAAAGGCCGCACCACCAGGACCACCGTTATTTTTCTTTTGATCAACCAGGCTAACCCTGCGGGATACGCCCTTTATGTAACGGCCCCTTGTGGGGCGCCATCCTAGATAGTGTAGAAGGTG